TGACTATTTGTTTGTGAATGATAAATAATAAAGATTATACGTAAGGCAACATATTTTTTTAATAAAGAAGCAGAAGATTTATTAAGATGAGTTTTTTTTTTATCACTAATAATAGTTATTGAAATACCAAACTTGCAAAATAATTTAGATTTAACAACAATTTTACCATCATTAATTCTATTATTGAACTTCCACCCATTTAAAAACATAATCAGTAATAGATAATATATAATTAAAACCAAAATGACGAAGAAAAACATCTATAAAGTCTATATTCCATATATAAAATATTTGACAAAATAATAATGGTTATTGAGATATCCGATTCTTGATAGATATATTTTTTTGACATATTTTATAGATTTATAAACTTGACATAAATATTTAATTATGAAAAGTCAATAAAAACTTGCATCAACTACTTTTCTCTGCTAAAAGAGAGAATATTTCATGATCAAGTATAAATCTTCTAATAACTTTATCAGTCCAAAAATTTTATAAATATGGATCACCCCAAATAAAATACATGTAATGATGTCTCAATTTATATTTTTATATTTTCAAAATATTCAAAAGATAAAAAGATGTAACAATATAATAACCAATATCTATATACTAAGGTCTATAATTTAAATTATAACTAATAAGCGATAAATTATCAATCATGTTCATTAAGAAAATCGTAAAAAATTAGGATAATTATCTTAATCTTTTTCAATGCAACTTAAATGGTCTACAACTTTGAATATCATTCTTATCTTAAATAACTAAATGGAAGTCATGGAACAAAATCATTTTTCTAATTAATATAGGTCTGGAATCATATTTTCTTTAACAAATTAAGTGCAATATAAGTAGTATAAATAATAATTTAAAACCTAACCAAAAAAATCTAAATTTATCTAAAGAAAAAAATAGTTAGTTTTTTTGGCCGTATAATTAATTATATAGAATATAATGTTCTAAAAGCATAGTAAATAATTAGCAACATCACGTAATCTTAGCGGTAATTCCTAATTAGGAGGTTGAATAATATGAGTAAAAGTTAATGCTCATTTCAAATAAGTTTATTTATATTTGTTATCAAAATTAAATATTACCTCTTTTTACAGTAATGAAGATAACGGTAGAACACTCTTACTAAATTTTTTAATGAAACTTCTATAAAAATCTACATGTCCAAGAAATGAACATACATATCTAATAGATGAGGGATAAAATAATTGGAAAATAACATTTAATTTAACAATATCTACTTGATTACCATGTTTGAAAGAAAAAAAAAACATAAAACATAACTTGTGATATTTTCATGATTTAAACACATGATTTTTTTTTCAACAAACTTCTTTAATACTTTATTTAAATTATTAAGACAAATATCAAAAGAATAACTATAAACACAAAACTTATTCATAAATACTTTAATACATTATTCCTATAAATCTATACCCATCATGGGTTGAAAACAGAGTTTTGGTTTATTCTTATCTTTTTTTATTAGGGAGTTATGTTCTCATACACACTTATAAATCCCAATTTAATGAGTAGTTTAAGGACAAAGTTATGAAAAACTAAAGTTTTAATATAAACCATACCTCAAATATGATGATCCTAACAATATTACCATAAATGACTTAAGAGTGAGATCTTATTTTTATATGGAATGTTCAAATATAAAATATGCATATTTAAAAATTACTAGAGCATTACATAATCCAAAAGAAATTTATAAAGCAAAATTTCTAAAAGGTTAAATAATCTAATTTTATATTGGTATTTAAGTGTAATACATATTTAAAAATAATTAGGAAAATCATAAAAATGAGATTTATATGTTAATCTTTTAAGCATTTATCAATAAGTTGAAGGGAAAAATGTTTTTTTTATAATAGCTTGATTTAATCTTTTATATCAATACATACTCTCTAATTATTTGGATTTTTTTAGAATCAATTCACTTTTTTTTTCATTTTTAATAATAATGAAACCAAACCTGTACAAGCATATGACTAACCTAAGTATTATTTGAAATAGGATAAATACTACTGCTTGTAATAATTTAATAACTTTTTTTAATAACCTCTAATATTTGTGGATTGACGCTGCTTTGAGATTGTTTCACTGGTTTGGATTTTTCTTCTTAAAGAAATTTATATGAAGGATTTATATTTGAAATATCATTTAAAGTTCATTCTATAACTTTTTTTATTACATGAATTAATTTAGATTCTTATTCACCCTTCAATAAATTAGAAATAATAAAAGAAAAATTATTATCATATAAAAATACATACTTTAAATTAGACGGAAAAGGTACTAAATCAAGGAAGAATATTTTAATTTAGGCTTTTTGCTTTTGAGAGTAAAAACTATTTTTTGGATTTTTTTCTAGAGTATTTTTGTTGAGCACAACTTCATTTCCTCTCTTTCAATGTTTTTAAAATTTTCTAATCCTGATCTATTCTACTGAGCAAATTTAGCTTCTACGTGACACTTTTCTTGGGATTAAACATTTAGCACTAGATAAAATTCAGTTTTCTTCACACCAATATACTAGGAATGGAACATGATGAATATATTTTATCACATTTTTATCAATATCTTTTATGTGTAATTATCTCATTTAATTAATTATACATTATTAATATAATATTAACAAAATAATTTAATATAGATCTTTAATTAATTTATTAATTAAATTATACACTTTACTGAGTATTTATATATTAATATAGGAATGCTAAGTTAAAAAATATTAAGAACTTTAATGAAAAGAAATTTGCTCAGTGAAGCAAACATTCACCCAGAAAGCATATTTTGAATTTGTTAATCCACTCATTGAAGATCAATTCAGCTTATGTGGAATTTAGTTAATTAACTTAAACTTAACCAGCTATTTTACTCCCTCAAATATAAGGTGCTTAGCATGATTTTGCAAATCAGACTCACGGATCAACTTCCAACTTCTCTAATTTGTTTTTAGTTTTTAATTTAATTTGTCCTAAAATCGTGATGATTGAGTCAATTATACTTTTGCCCCCATTTGGATGCGTCACTTGTTCTATTAGATTAGTATGGTATGGATGATATATGCTAGAAAATGAGAAAAAATTGTCATTTATATTTTTAATGAAATTTACGTTATCTTTTGTCAAACAAAAATACTTATAAAGAGTGTAAAAATATAGAAAAATATATTTAAGGGAAAACGCTTGTAAATATAAAAATGAAAAAATAATGTATAATATAAATAATGGAGAAGGACATGTCTTATTATAAAGAGAGTCTGACATAGTAATAAAGATTCTTTATAAGTTTTTTTAGAGAAAAATAAGTGTTATAGTTTAAAATAATAACAATAATTATTAATATATTTAAAAAATAGTAAAATATGAGAAACAGACAAAAATGAAAAAAACTATGCATATTTAAAGAGTGAAAAAAAAAGAAAATTTTTAAATAGTATTTTAAAGAAGATTTTTTTGTAACGTTCTTTTAGCGTCAACGAAGAAAGAAAAATAAAAATGTTGCAGTTTAAACAAAAATAATAATTATTATAATTTATATATTTAAAAAGTAATAAAAATATGAAAATAAGGAAAATAAATATTATAATTTAAAAAAACAGTTATTATGATTTATATATTAAAAAAATAAAAATATGAAAAAAATATACTGAAGAAAAAGTAGATATATTTAAATAAATAAAAAATAAATATAAAAAATAAAGACACGTAGATATTGTAACTCATATGTTTTAAATAATTATATATATTTTATGAGTCTCATATTATCTAAATATTTATATAAATAATAATTTATATATATTTATTTTTTTAATTTATTGATAATTTTTTAAAGATAAAATTTTAACAAACAAGATTTTAAAAATAATATCTCAAATTTAAAATTGATGTAATAATATTATTACATATTTGAGATATTTAGAAAATATATAAATTTAATCATTAAAAAAATAAAATATTATAGTTTAAAGAAATTTTTTATCGTAATTTATTTATTTAAAAAATAATCAAATATAAAGAAGGAAAAATATATATATATAAAGATTAGGAAGAAAAAATAAAATAAAATAAAATAAACAATATTAAAAAAAATTAATTATAAAAAAAATTGAACATGTAGACGCTTTAGCGTATATGTTTCTACTAATTATATATAAAGAGATTCATTTTCTAATCGTTTTTTAATAAATAAAAAGAATAAAAATATTATATTTAAAGAAAAAATAATAATTATAATTTATACATAAAAATATAAAAAGAGAAAATAATAAACAAATAAATATATTCAAATAGTAATAAAATAAAATAATATTTTAAAAATAATTATAAAAAAAATATGATCTATATTTCGACTTATATAAAAAATATAAATACATCAACGCATGTTTCCACTGATGTAAAGTGTATAGATGAATTACAGCCTTTTATATGATGATATCATACCATCACCATCAGCAGAGACGGAACCATACTCACTTAGTTATGGAAGGCTTTGGATACTAGTTAGATGGTTTAAAAGTTCTACCTATTAGACTAATCATAAGTGGGGTGATTTTACGTTGCAGTTCATTAAATTTTATTGGTTTCAGTTCGATATTTTTATTTTCAAAAAGATTTATTATAACTTTTTAATAAAAACATTAAATAGGCCTATTTAACATTTTAGTTAAAAAAGACCAAATATTTTTTTTTTAATTCAGAAAATAATAAACATTTTAAAAATACAAAAATACCGTATTATTAAACTTTTAAACATGCATTAATGAATTCTTACCTATTTAACATTATTATTAAAAATAACTAAGTTGAAAACATAAAATAACATATTAAAACTTTTAAAAACTTAATTTATAGAAACGAAAATACCACACCACAAATGGCGAAAACTAACATCGATCACTGGATTCAAGTAGATAGGGCTTCAAAACTATTTTAGCTTCAACCAGGTAAAGTTTAGATAACAGTACATCTTCAAAGGAAGGCTAATGAAGTCAACTCTTCAATTAAAGTTGTCAGATCAGAGTGAGATGATCCTCCTTCCTCCATGGCTCGCCTAGCCAGCTTTGAAAGCTCCTTTGCTTTATTCCTCATATCAATGGCTTCTTCCCCTATCGTTATCGTCTTAACTGCCTTCTCCACTACATCAGATGTAATATTATCTCCTTCCACTCCAACCCATTTTTTGGCACCAACAGGTACCCCAATTTTAAGGACTTCGGTCACCAACTTCTCATTGAAAAATTGGTCCGCAAAAATTGGCCAGGTTATCATGGGAACCCCAGCAGACGCTGCTTCCAAGATTGAATTCCATCCACAATGAGTCACAAATGCTCCAATGGCCTCATGTTCAAGAATTAATAGTTGAGGTGCCCACCCTCTTATGATTAATCCCTTACCTTCCATCCTTTTTTCAAATCCATCAGGTAGCCATTCAACTCCATCTTCTTTCCTTTTTCTCACCACCCACATGAATTGTTGGTCTGAAGCCTCAAGACCCGTAGCAATCTCTCTAAGTCGAGAATCAGGTAACACTACTGTACTTCCAAAGCATACGTAAACGACTGATTTGGGTTTCTTTGTGTCAAGCCATTTTAGACACTCATGATCACCCACAGATGCCCCCTTTCCTCTATTTGCCTTTTCTTCCATGTCCCTGTTGCAAAGAGACAAGGGACCAATATGCCATGTTTTTCTTCCAAGCACCTTGCTGAAATAATCTGCATATACCTTCTCAAGTTCGTAGAAACTATTCACAACAACTCCATGGCTTCTCAACTCTGACTCCTTTGCTTCCGCCAACAATTTGATGAAGCCTGTTGCCTGACTCCTGCCATAGGGTCTCAACGACATCCTTGCTATTTTAATCTCACCCGGAAGATTAGGAATGACGAGCGACTCAGAATCAGAAGAAACATCGTTGTCAGGCTTGTAGAATCCCATGCACGTGGTAGCACACAAGGAGAAGAAACTAAACCCATGGAAGACGAGCCTAGGAATTCCAAATTTGGCGGCAGATTCAGTTGCCCATGGGAAGAACATATCAGCGACAATGCAATTCGGACGTTGCTTGAGCAATAGTTGTTCAAGCGGCTCTTGTAGCAAAGTGGTGGCCATAAAAAATGCTCCAAACAAATCTGGGGAAGGGATTGAATCAATATTTTCAAGGTCATCAGGTAAACTAGCCTCTGCAGAAGGGAACTCGATGGTTTGGATCTGAATCTCGTTGTTGTTAGTTTTGGCTTTTTCAATGGCTTTGGAGATGAAAGGTGCGTTGCCTGGTGTGGTGATGACAGTGGCCTTCACACTCTTTTCTGCAAATAATTTAGCCATGTCAACTGTTGGTATTATATGGCCATAAGCCAAGAAGGGGAAGAAGAAGATGTGTAGATTATGATTTCCATTGCTACTCATCTTTCTCTCTACTGGCTAAGTAAATCTACAAAACTTGAATGAGGAGGAAATATGTAGGGAATGGCTATTTGCTTTTATACTGAGAGTGTGGAGAATTTATAATGAGGATAGGACACAAATAATGAAGAAGGACTAGTTCTTATAGTTGCAAATACATTCGTTGATTAAGGCAACTTTACTTGTTTTTGAGGAAAGTGTTATTTTAATAAATAAGCATAATTTTAGTTTTTTGTGTTTGGTTATTTTTGTTTGTTTTAAACAGTGTTCTGTTCACTTTACAGGAGAAAAGGACTGACGCATAAGGTTGAGGTTATTAGGAGAGATTTGGAAGATTGCCTGTGAGTTTCTTCCGGGGAATTGCGACCCATTAGGAGGGTGTGTTGTAAGAAACATGATATTTTCCCAACAATAAAAATATTAATATAATGATATGGGTTGTGATTCCATGATTTTCCTTAGAAACACGGTCTCTGCGCATATACAAAGCTTGCTTATGGTTAAAACTGAGATATTTAAATTTTTTTTTAGAATTATTTTTTAACACTTGAATTTTTTTTATTTGTAGCTGAATTATTTTAATTACAAATTTTTTAATTCCAATTATTATTAATTGTTTTTATTATCTATTCTACGATTAATATTCTAATTTACATGAATTGGCGTAATTGATAAAATAAATAGTTAAACGTAAAACTATTAAAAAAATAGAAAAGTATATCATTTTATGTAGAGGAAAACCTTTCTAAAAAATATAAATAGACATCTCAAAATTTCCGTATAGTAATATATATTTAAAATTTAATTAATTTTATATTAATAATATCTTCCAACCGCGCCTGGGAACACATAGGCATCCCTAGGCTAGTGGCGTTGCTGTATAGGACTGTCAAGTTCTGTAGTCTGTGAGGGAATATTTTCACTGTGGAAAATGTTCAGTGTACATCTTCAAACATTCAATAACCTTATGTTTGAATTCGGGTAACGATCGCAGAAAGTGGATTTTATGTGATTTAAAATGGATTATGGAGGAAAAGACAATGATCGGAAGAAATTTGAGTGGATTGATATTAGTTGATATGATTGATGAGAATAAATATGAAAAATTGAATATTAATTTTTTAAATATAATGATCAAAATATTTTAATAATTATATTGGATAAATTAAAAAGAAATGATAATTATAATATAATTAAATATAAAATGGCAAGATTTATATTATATATAATATTTAAATATATAAATATTATTTTATATTTTAAATATAATTAAAATATCTTTATATATTAATATAAAATATTTTTTATTATAATTTAAATTATATATTTAAAATTGTTAGTATTTTGAATAAATATTTTATAAAATTAAATTATATTATTATAATAATAATTTATAAATTGTTGTACATGGTCAAATAATAATTTTTATATAACAAAATAAAAAATTTCAATTGTTAAGGTTTATAATGTATATTAAAATTTATAATTTTTATTAAATTTGTGAAATTTTTATTTCATAAAATATACAATATTTAAATTTTAAATAAAATGTAAAATATACATATAATATATGCAAAGTCATCCAAATTTATATTTATATTATAATAAAATTATAATCATAAAAACATGCAATGATTCAATTAATGATTACAATAATTTAAAATAAAGTTAAATAAAAAAATAATACATAGATAATAACTATAACATGAATGAGACATCTACTCGAAGATTCTCATGAAATTGATCAATTTGTTTTTCAACCTCGATTAATCATGTGATACACATAATTAATACACATTATAGACTTTCATAATTATTCTAAATATTCACTTCAAGTCTACCAATACTTCTCCCCATATTAAGTTTATGGTAGTTGGTGTTTATGCTTGTCCATGTTCAATCTACACATCTTCATCTTCAATAGAAGGGTGATCTTGCTCAAAGTAGGTTATTGGACACGCTGACCCCTTCCATGTTGTCATGCCCCATCTACATTTATGACATTTAACCTTTTCAAAGATGTCTCGTTGAATCTATTTATTCGTCACATGATTGTAAAATCAGGTCCAAGTCCAAGCCACAACGCAGTAGGATACGAGTGATTAGAAGACCATAAAGTAGAGACATACGATTAACCTTACATTTCTTCATCTGATGATATAATAAGCCCAATTTATCGCAATGTGATTCTTTATGCACCAGATCATAAATATATATTCTTGTAACACTTGAGCATAATTCTCTTTCCGAGGACTAAGTATGAATGAATGCATAATGGAGAAGTCTGTCCTCCACTATCATGCTACTAGCATTCCTACAAGTCCCAACTTGTAGTTCTGTTCTAACCATCACAGCTAATGCCTCATCTTTATTGTATCCCAAGTCGTCGGGGATGTCAGAAACATCAATTTGTTGACCCTAATATTTTAAATGAGTCACATGCAACCAATCATTAGGTTTGGTCATAATATGCTTATGTAAGACCTTAGTGACTAAATCCTGTGAGTCAACCAATTTTAAATTTGTGTAAAAGACCTTAACGAGATCTTCATAAATATGACCATTGAGGTTAAAAATCTATCCAATCCCTGAAAAAAAAAAAGATGATGTGGGAATTTCGAACCTAACCCTAACAAAGAAGTTGAAGTTCATTACCTTTGGTTGCATTATTTGCCTGTGGACAAAATCAGCATAATAATTTTTTCCTCTTACATTAGTTACTAAAATAATGACCATGATCTAATAAAGTGCGCAAAATAGACAATTTAGGAGGAGGGACTAGTGCATGCTCCTCTACCCCTTTTTCCTCTACTTTAGAACCCATGTCTTTGTCTCTTGGATTTGGAGAACGATGAAGACATAATTGAAATATTTGACCTATGTACACAAAAATATTTAATTTTAATTAATTATATCATATTATAGATAATGATAATAATAATTTTCTAATTAAAATATAATATTATATTAATTTTGTATGTTGTAAATAAATAATTACCTTAACTTCAAATTAATTTAATTTAAACAAAGGTTCCCGTCAATTCATTAATGTCCTAATATGGACAATTTATAAAATACTAAAATAAAATTTACTCCTAAATTTAAACTAAACATAAATTTTACAATTAATTATATTTTAATTAATTATTATTACTAAAAAAATTACCTTGGAAGTTTTTTGTATTTTGAAATTTAATGTCTTACTATAGAAAATTTAGAAAATTTCAAAATAAAATTTATTTCTAAATCTAAACTAAGCACTAATTTATGATTTAATTAATTAATATTACTTACAAAAATTAGCTCTCAGTTTTTTTTTAATTTTAAAATTTAATGTCCTAATTTATAAAATTTATAAAATAGAAAAATAAAATTTATTCCTAAATCTAAACTAAGCACTAATTTAGCAATTCATTATATTTTAATTAATTATTATTACTTAAAAATATTAGCTCTCAGGTTTTTTTATTTAAAATTTAATATCCAAATTTAAAAAGTTTATAAAATAGCAAAATAAAATTTATTTCTAAATCTAAACTAAGTACCAATTTAGTAATTAATTATATTTTAATTAATTATATTTTAATTAATTATTATTATTTAGAAAAATTAGCTCTCGGTTTTTTTTTTATTTTAAAATTTAATGTCCTAATTTAGAAAGTTTATAAAATAGCAAAATAAAGTTTATTCCTAAGTCTAAAATAAGCACTAATTTAACAATTAATTATATTTTAATTAACTATTATTACTAAAAAAATGACCTCTCAAGTGTTTAGTTTAATTTTAAAATTTAATATAAATATACACAATTTATAAAATACCCTTAAAAAAAAAATCTTAAATCTAAACTAAGTATCAATGTCACAATTATTTATAATGTGATTACTAACATAAAATTATCTCTCATGTATTTAAAAACACATTTTATGTTCATTAAATATGACTCTCTTTTGGCTCTATTTTTTTGTTTTTTTAATGTAACAATTAAAAACTTATTATAACAACACTAACTTCAAATTGCAGATCATGTCACCTAAAAGTTATATAATATAAGTTATAATTGATCAAATCTATCTTTTTAATTTTTCTTATGTAATCACAAGTTTATAAAAAACAAACTACAAGATTTCAAATACAATTTAAAATTTAGTCAATCTAACTTCTAATTTTTCTTATCTTACCATAAATTTCTCAAATCAAACCCATAACCTTTCAGATTTAACTTCAAATTTATCCTATTAAACAAGTGATGAGTCAAATGTAATACCTAATTTATCAAATCTAACTATGTAAAGTAATCCCCTTCTTGCATCATTTCAACATAGAACAAGATACACATAATCGAACATGGGTCACTGTATAATCGATTATGCAGACCCCATAATCGATTATGCAACACATGATAATCAATTATGGGTCAACCACAATCGAATATCCCATCAGTGATAATCAAATATGATTCATTTCTTCCACTACTGCACTTAACCAATGTATATGCATCAAATTGACGATTATATCTACGATCAATGAACAACTCAATGAGCAACCAATCATTTAACTATCAACAAATACTTCAAGTAACCATGAATGAACTTACTTGGACTTCTAAGCTTGTACGAAGATGAAACTGAGGTTCTTGGTTGTATCTTTCCTTACTTTAGCTAGAAGTACCTTCACTGCAGCACCACAAATGCAGTTCCTCTTGCTCCACCCTTCCTTCAGTCTTACCAAACAAATCCTTCAAAGATAACAAAATTGAAAATTCTATTATACTTAGATGGGAGAATAGAATGCTCTCACACAATGCACCCTGTATTTATAAGCATGTCACTGCAACTGTGTAACGGCCACAACACCAGTACTATTAGCATGTGGCCAAGCCTTCACAGTGTTGTCTATGAAGACTGAAAGGAATCTAGCAGAAGTGTGCAGTGAACTTGAACTACTTTGGTCACTCACTACTACAAAATATGTTTTCAACGTCGCCATTTAACGTCGGTTAA